TCCTGAAGGTCTTTATTCCTTCAGCCCCAGCATCTCCACCACAACCAGTGGTGGTGGTGATAACTTACTGTTCTTCTTGGTGAGGACAAAAGAGCTCTTGCAAAGCTCAAATTCCATCTAAGACCTATGGCTGACCATGGGGAGAATGAAGCCCCTTGAAGTTTCGGGGAGCAATGCAGAGGGCTGCTCAGGGTCTTCCTGCAGTTTGGCTGCCCCACAGGCACTGGGCTGGATTTCAGGCAGGGTGAGCAGGGCTGTGTCTCTACCATAGTTATAAAGAGCTGCCTGTGGGCTCCCGAGCTGTCCACAGAGGTGGTGGGCTGGGCAGAGCTCTCTGCTCGGGAAGCAGACAAGTATTTTGTCTGTGCCTTTTTGTCTCACAGGCTGACTTGCCTCCACCTCTCGCTGCACTTTGAACAGCAGGTGAATCATGTTTGGGTAAGTCAGTCACTGCCCCGCCGCCAGCTCGTCCTTTCATAACGCACGGACGTCACGGCTTTTAAAGAGGTCAAGTTGTTAGTACTCGGCAGACTTGTCACCCAGAAACCTGTCCTGGTGGATCCGCCAGAGCAAATTGCAGGTTTTCCTTTGCAGGAAGCCTGCCACCATTTCTTTGTGTATTTTAGGAACGTATTGCAGTGAGGTTTAGGGAGTAAAGAGAGTAAAGAGCAAACACAGAGTCCTGGAGGGGTTTACAGGAAAGAGAAGGATGTTGTGAAAGGTGTGCATCCTTAGACTCATTTTTGTGAAAATTAATCCCAAGCAGTTTAGTGAATAAAGCTCTGCTATAACTTTTATCTGCTAATTTACATGACAAAAACTTTTAACTAACAAATTTTCAGAAAGAAAGGACAAGTTGCAGAAGAATGCAGCAGAGAGAGGAGCAAGTGCAAGTGCTGTGCAGGGAGCAGGAGCAGAAGTAGGAATTTCACCTTCCAAAACACTTCTCACTTGCACGACTCCAGTTCCATTTGGGTTTTGCTTTTCTTCTTACTCAGTGCAAAAATAGAAGAGTGGTTTCATAGGAAACCTCTGCCCAGCACTCTGTAGAGATTAGCAGATCATAAATAGGGCTGCAGGAATCAGCTTTTCTGGGAAAGTCAGGATTTCTAACTGTTTCCATTTTTTAGTGAAATGAAAAAGCAGCTTGAAATTTTCCATAAAGAAGGTCACTTGGGAACAGAGCAAAGATTTCTTTTTGATGTCTACCTTAAAGATCCTTGTTTCTCTAATAGGACACTTCATATAATAAAGCCCCCAGAAAAGTTTCATCACAAAATAAAAGTCCAACTCTTCTGCTCTGAAATCACTGGCATTTATAGAAAAATACCTTCATTTGGGGGCATCTCACACCTAAGCTCTCTTGGCATTTCTGCTGCTAAGAGGCTCCAGACAGCCACATGCCATGCAGGATCCCTGCAGGTACCCCCAGGTGCTATCAACAGGGGCAGCACAACCCCTCCTGCTCCCCAAGGATCAGCCAAAGTTATTAGATAAAGAGGAATAAATTTGTGTAAACAAGACTTGCTTAAGTAACTCCACGACTGCCAGTTCCTCTTGCTGGTCTTCTTTTCCTACTCCACCCTTGCAGAGCCTGATGTGATGGGTGTTGGGCACGGCTCTGTCCACACTCGTCTCCCACCCAGCTGAAGGCACATCAGCTCCAAGGAGCCCCCAGTTGAACCTTGCAGATGCTTCAAGCAAATGAGGTGGTTAAACAGCCTGATGGAGTCAGAGCTCATGCCCAGCAGTGCTTGGGAAGCTGCTGGCTGTCACGTCTGTGGGCAAACACCCATCTCAACACACCGAGGTCATGGTGGGGAATGTGTCCCTCGGGACAGCTACTGCACTGCTGTGACTGAAGGTCCTCAGAATCCCCAAAAGCCTGATGCTCCACCTGCCTTTTTTCTCCTGCACTTAGTGTTTTCAGAGCCCTAATCCCCATGGCTGGCACGAATGTCAATGCTATACGCCCATTCCTGTCACCTGGCTTCAAGCCAGGGCTGAGATGCAATGAGGACTTAGGGAGACCAGATAACTTGAAATGGTTTTCACCACCACAGCTCTCTGGGGAAACTTGGCCAAATTCAGTCCAAATGAAGGCAGCACACGGGCACAGAGGGCAGCAGGCTACGTGCCAGGCAAGGTGCCAAAGGCAGGACAGAGAACCTCGGCTGCCGTAGGAGACACCTGAATGTTGGCCCTGCTGATCCCTGGGAGTGTTTGGCTCTTTGCTCTTGTGCCACAGGGATCCAGCTGCCTGTGTTATATTTGCACAGAACGTAGCACAGTGGCCTGAAGCAGGGACTGTAAAACACAAACAGCAAACAGGAAGACTCTGCCTGGCTCGGCGCTCACCACCGCCCAGCAGTGCAGGGTGTACCCAACTCTGTCCCTGAGCACATGAAGATCCTGAGATTTGGAGCAGTGTGAGGACATGGCAATGGGGTCAGCTGCAGACAGCCATATGCAAGCTCCACCCACTTTGGGAGCTGGGACAGAAGGCAGAGAGGGCAATTTTAGGACTTTTAGCTTGTTAGGTGAGATATCTGTCAGCTGGAAAGCAGAGTCTCAGCTCCAACTGAGCATCTTACAGGTATGCTTGACCTCAGTCTGGCACAGCATGCTTGAAAAGTTTCTAACCTTTAACTTAAACAGCAAAGGCAAGGGTTCCCCTTTTCATGTCAAAACACAGAGAATTTATTGCAAGATATTCCCATCCCATGGTTGAGTGGCCTGAGGGGACTGTAAAATGCTGCAACTCCATATGCTATTTGAAAGTAAGTTGTGTCTTGTGCAAGAGTCCTGTGTACTTGCACGAAGGGGAAAGTAAAATATGTAAAATAACCCCTCATAGGATTATTTTACATTAATGTACCCAAGGGTTCATGAAGCAATAAGGAAGTTAAAATCAATCTTTCCCTGCACTAGCCAAACCAACCCATTGAAACCCAGTTTAGCTTTTGGGGCTGTTTGTTTTTCCCATCTTCATTTTCCCTTTAATCTTTGTGCTGGATAATTAAGACAACATTACTCAGCATCTTCCCTGCTGTTTGTTGTGATTATACAAGAGCCGGCTGCATTTGTTCCATGAAAACAACATCCAGAGCCACATTCTGTGGTTTCAAGTAAAATCCTCTGTGGTGTTGACTTTTAATCTCGAGTTTGTCTGAAATCTGCATTACTCAGGAAAATACCCATAAAAATAGACTTCTTAAGGAGAGCAAAGCAAGGCAGCGACGCAGCTTGTGCTCAAGCTTGCATTGAAGTTTTTATTGATGCTGAGACTTCTGGGTTTGACCTAATACCGCCGGCAGCAGTGGTGGGCCAGATGCCGGTCCTGTCCCCCACTCCGAGTCCCTTTCGCTGCCGGTTGGACCCTGCCAGCAGCCCCCGGCCGGTGCTCTCCCTGCCCCCGGAGCACTCCTGCCCCCGGTGCGCTCCCAGCCCCCGGAGCGCTGCGGGAGCCTTATAAAACAGCCGAGCGGTTACGAAACCCGTGGCCCCGCTGCCAGACGTTCCATCCCCGGTAGATGGCGGTGCCAGCTCATTTTTCCTAATTTTTTCCCCTTCTTTTTTTCCCCTGGCGCCTCGCCCGGTACCAATCCCCGGCGGCTGCCGCGGGGCCGGGGCTGCGCTTACGCGCGGCCCCTGCGCTGAGGTCAGCACTGCAGAAAGAGAGGGGTTTGTCGGGTTTTTTTCCCCCCTATAACTGCTCTTCGTCTGTCTTTGATAAATTTGAAATCAGTTATAACAGCTCCAGCACAGCCTCAGGCGTCTGGAGCCCCTTTTATGCAGCCCGTCTGTCCCTGCTCAGGCTGCTCCATCCCGCAGCAAGCGGCGTGGAGGGCACAGGGAGGTTATAGGGTTTTCTTGATCTGGGGCGACTATGCAGAGCCAGGCAGCCAGAGTGCCTGGATTTTTCTCAACATGGTCTTGAACAACATCCACTCTCCCGGATCCCAGTTTCCCACCTATTGCTTTTCCTTGGCTGTTTCCTTCTCCAGAGGGGAGGCAGTGTGACTGGATGAATAAACAGCATTTCTCTTTGGAGCCCACAAAATCTTTATTTGGCTAAGAGTGGCCCAGGAGCCCTCCAGCACGTGCTGTTATTTGCCTCTCCACCTCCTCGGCGAGCCCAGGGCGTGCGCTGCCACTCCGGCACGGAAAGGCTAATCCTCGTCTTCCTGCTCATCATCCCTGTCACTGCCGCGGTCCTGGGGCAGGGACACAAAGAAAAGGGACAGCATGTGAGGGGAGCGCTGGCTGTCCCGGCCCCTGGTACCCCTAGGTATTTGGCAGCATCCCCACAGGGGGTGCAGGTGCAAACCCCACAGGGCCGGAGTGCGGGGGGGCAGCCAGGCCCCAGCACGGAGCTGGGGTGGGGTTACCTCCTCCAGGTCACTGTCGGAGCTGCTGCTGCTGCTCCTGTTCTCTTCCCCATCTCCCTGCCAGGGAGAAGAGAGAGGGACCTTGGCACCCCATTTGCTGTTTGAGCTAGAGCCTTGAGTCGGAGAGACTCCTGGCCCTGTGGGTATCCAGAGCCAGGCTTTGCACCACTGGTGCTGCTGTGGAACCACGTGTGCCCACGGCCCTGCAGGGAACTCCGGAGCCAGGAGCAGGGATTGGGTGGTGTGTGCAGTGCAGGCAGCATCACTGTCCATGGCAGTATTTCATTTGGAAAGGAAAAGGAGGGAGAACTAGCTGGGAATATTGGGAGAAAAGAGGTAGCTGTCCCTCGGTGGAAAAGCCACACACGCAGTGTGATTTCTAGGCTGTGGATGGCATAGCTCCATCCACCACAGACGTGGGGTTGCCACGGGTCAGACATGGCTTCCCTTCACAGCCAGGATGAAAATGGTTCTGCAGAAAACTCCATCATGCCCCTACCTTTTCCTCTTCTTCCTTCTCCTTTTTCTTCTGCTTGTCTTTCTCTTTTTCTCTCTCAGTCTTTTCCTTCTCCTTTTCTTCCTTCTCCTCTTTCTTGTCCTTTTCCTTCTCCTCTCTCTCCTTATCTTCCCGTCCAAACCCTATAAGAGGGCACAGAGGAAGGTTCACTGCCAGCATCCAGCACACACAAACCCAGCAGGTCCCCCTGAGTCTGCACCAAACACTCACATTTCAGGATTGTTGACATTTCACCGAAGCCAAAGAGCTCTGGGGCACAAGATGATCACACCTACGGCACAGAGAGACCTAAAGGAGCAGCTGGAGAGTGGAGAAAGGAAGAAGGTGAGCTTTTCAGGGGTGAAAAGACCTCCCTGGACTGTTCAGTTTTTGCAGAGGTCCTGTGCACTTACTACCCCCAAAAACAGCAGGGAAGGGGATCAAACAATCTGTGGCCTCCACAAAAGCCAGATCTTGTGCCCACCCAGGCAGCCCCCACTTCCCCCAGGGAAGCAGCAAGCGCCAAGTGATGGAAGCAGAGAAATCTCAGGGCAAATGTGCAGGGAGATGCCTTAAACCTCCCATGAGCAGCTGCAAATTAAGGAAATATTTCAAATTATATGAAGATGAAGGAATAAAGAGCAGGTGTGGGGACTCCTAGGAAGCCCCAGCAGAAAGGAGATCTCTGGAGACAGGGGGATTTCAGGGAGGGAGATGGAGACAGCAGCAAGCAGAAGAGAAGCTGAGAGCAAGGGTAAGAAAAATCCAAGCATTGATTAGGTGCCTGAAAGGTGGCAGATGAGAAGAAAGGAAAGAAAATAGCTTGCTTTAAAAATAGCAGGCCCAAACAAATCCCATGAAATAGCCCGGGCAGGTCAAGCCCTCCCTCTCATACACAAACAGCACAACAGGGCAGCAGGGGCAAGGGATCACATCCCTTCTGCTTGCAGGGAAGAGCAGGGTCCTACCCTGCCCCAGCAGGTAATTAGGAAACAGCTTCTCTTCCAGCCAGTGATGGAGGGAGGCAGAATATTAGTGCTTTTTTTTAAATGGTTTTTGGCCTCAAAATGACATCATCTGGTTGGTATTAGTGGCTCTTTTAAAAGAGCCAGTTGCAGCCTCTGAGCTGATAACATTGATTTGTATTTTCTAGACAGGTTTTTAAACCCCCAGGATGCTGCAGGGGAGCGGGAAGCAATGGGGTTTGGGGTGGAATCAGAGGAGAGACAGGTTAGACAGGGAGAGAAGGAGTGTGGGAAATGGCTGATAAAAGACGTAATCAGTGCAAAGTTAAAATCTAATTAATAATGAACAGTGATCTAATTCATCTCCGTAATTAAGAAGTGCAACTACTAATTGAAAATAATTACATTTTAATCTAAAATCATTAAAATAATCAAACGTTAACAAAAGAAAAGGCAGCCCCTGGGAAGGTGCAGGGGAAGGTGCAGGAGGTGTAGCTGATGCCCTGATCCCAGGGTCTCCTCACCAAAGCTGCTCCACAGCTCCTGTGGTGTGTGCCCAGCCCCAAATCCATGAGGATGTCCCTGCCTTGTGCCTTCACTGCCAGAGGGGAGCAGATAGGGAAGGCACATGGTACAGAGAGGTGGAAATCAAGCTTTACACTAGAATATGAGCAACCAGATCTCTGGGGGGGGTTACAACCCCTTAATTCCCTTCCACACGTGGGGGACCAGCCCTGCTGATTTCCAGGAGATGGGGTAGGCTCCCACACTCCAGGGCTCTGACAAGCTCCTGTCTGGGGCTGCCACCCAGCCCCCTCTGCAGCCTGGGTCATGATGGCTGCCAATGCTCAGCTTTTCCCCATCCCATCCCATCCCAGCAGATCCAGTTTTGCCTGTTCCTTCAGAGCCTTGGCTGCCATGGGTTTCAAGCAGGCAGGTTCACCTGACCCAGATGAGCTGGTTCCCTAAAGCCTGGGCAGGCAAACCAGCAAAACCCAGTGATGGTCCCACTGACCAGCTGCAATTGTCCTCCTTAGCTGAGCAAAGCGTGAGGTGCAGCTGGATCAGACCTCTGGCTAATGGAGCAAACTTGCATATTCATACCTCTCCAGATGCAACAGCCTGGATGGCCTTACCCCCCAGGCACGACAGGCTCACAGGGCACAGTGACCCCACTCCCATCTCACCCAAGGAACTGAAGTCCGTCCCACAAGGCTCAGGCATGATGCCCCATTGCCATCCCCAAGACCACATGGAGCACAAGCTGTCCCAGGGATACTCCCGCTGCACCCTCTGCTTCACCCTGCCCTCCTGCTCTGCTTCTCCCACCTGTAAAATACGTATGCAAGTCTGTAAATTCCCAGGATGACATGAGGGATAAAGGAAAGCACCTTACCTGGAGCTGAAAAAGACAAGTGGCCTCCTCGATGCCTGGCTGGCAGCTACCAGGGATCTGGGTATTTGAGTGTTGTGGTCTCCTCCCCAGTCCCACTTTTGGAGCAGAAAAACTGGCTCTGCCACCTGCCACGGACAGCACATGACAGCGGAAGCATGACCAGTCCCATTGGTACCCACGGGAAGCATTGCCTCCAGCACAGGCAGGAGCTGAAAGACCTTGCAGCAAGCAAGTCAGGGCAGCTCTGGAGGCTGCAGACAACCCCGGGGACCAGCCCTGGGACCAGGGAGGGCACTGGGGACTCTGTCTGGGGATGTGCTATGGCCAGGGCCCTGCTGAAAGTACAGAAAAGGGACTTTGGGGTTGTCCTTAAAACCGCGGTGAGAGGGACCTCCAGCAGGTCCTTGCTCCCTCTGGGTGGGAGGTGTCAGGTGACTCAAGCAGATTAAGGCAAGGCCAGACCAGGCAGAGCTCCCAGCTCCCTCCAGTGCTTGTCCTTGCTGCTGGCTTTCACTCCAACATATCATTAAGTAAATACCTGTCAGCAGAGAGCAGTTACCAGCAGGTCTAAACACTTGCATAATGTGCTCTCCCTCTAATGCAATGCCCTCATTTCTAACAGCGCCAGTACGGGATAATAACAGTAACAATAATGTCAGAAAGGCCCTGTGTACCCAGCTAATTTGTTTTCTCCACCTAATCAGAAGTATTACCTCTCCCATAAGATTTGCCCCATTTAACACCTTAAACTCTACAACAAAGTTGCTCCTGCAGTCATTTGACTTTCATTTACAGTAATTGCTGCGTGGAGCCCCCTCCCAGCAACGAGACTAACCCTGGGTAACCAATGCAGGGAGCAAGCAGCTATACAGAAGTCACTTGTTCCAAAAACCTGGCTATGTCTGCCCAAGGCCTCCTCCACAGCCTGTACCAGCCCCAACCTCAGAGCAAGAGTCCCCTTAGCAGCTTTAGATCAGAAATGAGGGATGGGTTTTAACATCAAAGGTGGATAAATCTTGGAGCAGCTCAGCAAGCTGGTAGCAGAGTCCCTGTTGCTGCCCATTTTACAATCAATAGATGTGGTGCTCTTACAGAGATGCTCCAGCTCACACACAAATCATTCAGGGCACTCCTGCCAGCAGCACTCAGTCTTGGGATAAACAATGGCAGCAATCCTGCCTGTCCTGGCAGGACACAGCCACCAGGTCAGTGCAGCCAGGGAATGTGGGGGCTCGGTGGAGATGTGCACATGGAGCACAGTGCAGGACCATGGAATAGATCCAGGGAGGATGCTTGGTGTTGGGACAGGCACTGGCATCCAACCCACACCTCTGAGCAGCTCCTGTCCCCTCAGGAAGATCCTCCCCCACTAATACCAAACTCAAGCTTATTTTTAATTGGTGACCTCATTGCTCATTCCCTGCCAGGCCCAGCTGGGCTCTCAGTACTCTGATGTCCCCAGCATCCTCCAGTTAGAGGAGCCCAAGGGACAGCCCTGCCATCACTTCCTGGCCATGGGGACACAAAGCATCACCCAGGGACCCCCCCGACCATCCAGCCAGGCTGGAGCCACCAGCATCTCCCAGCACAGGAGTGGCTGTCACCCCCCAGCAGAGTGGCAGCCACAGACATCCACAGGCCCACAGACCACACAGGCTCTGCTCTCACCCTGCAGCAGGCACAAAGCTGCCCTTGAAGGAGGGAAAGCAACCTGCCAGCCAGCACCCAAAACACCAGTGTGTGGCCACCTCCAAACTGCTGTCACTGTGCTGAGCTGCAAGGGACAAGTAAACTCCCAGAAAACATGAATTAGCACCGTACAGGCCACTTATATCCTCTATTTCTGTGCCAAGGAGCCTTTGGCTACAGAACACCAATTTCTACTTAAATCACATGATCACAGACTACTGTTTATTTAGGATCCAGTGTACACACCTGAGAAGGAAATGCCAGAGCTCTCCCCTTCCTGCCTCTGAGTCAGGCCATGTAGTTTGTGCTGTGGGTGACCTGGGACAGTTGTCCCCTTGGTCACAGCCACCAGTGGCAACATAGGTGCTGCTTCTTCCAAACAAGGACAACTGCTCATCCTGTCTCAGGTTCTGCTGCTACTGAACATTCATGTTTTAATAATGGAAAATGAGTCGCTGGGAAGGTGGTTGGGCAAGGACTGGGAGCACGTCCCGAAGCCCATCGGCAAGACCAAGCCTTTTTTATGTTTTCAACCTTTCCACAGCAGCTGCCAGGAAGCAGCTTTTGCAGCTGCAATGACAGAATCTCTCCCAAGGAAAAAAAATAATTGTGGGAGGTTTTTTTTTTCTCTTCCAAGTCACTGCCAGCATCTTAGCTGACTCTTATCTATTCTCAGCCACCTCTCACCTCCCCAAACACTACCAGAAGTGCTCAAATTACTGTCAGCTCTCATTAGGTTCTCGAGCAAGGCAAGGCCAAGCAGTTAGACCTCCAGACAGTTGGATGCTGAATTCTGATGAATCCTTTGGGTAGGAGGTTTCAGCAACTGTGGAACTGTTTTTGTTGGCTGTCTATTGCAGCCTTTGCACTGGCACACAAATGAAGCTGGTGCATGCTTGATTATTGGCTGCTATAACAAAATCCAGGTGGGTACACGACTGAAAGAATTACTGTCTGCATCTTAAAAGAAGAATCACTTCATTTCCTTTAATTATTAAACTACTCTGCACTAAAGCACTGCAGGTGAGTAGACTTTATCTGCAAGAAAAACAGCTGCTGCTTCATAAAAACCCCATTACCTTTATTTTTTCTCTTCTGACATTTCTGTAAATTTTGGCTTTGTGGCAGGAGCAAAGCTGCCATTTTGCACTGATGCAGGAACTGGGAGTTCATCTGTGGGAGCCCTCTTTCCCAGGAGGCAATACCCTGCCATGAGAAAAGCCCCAGCTGTCCTGACCCCATAGCTGCACCCAGCCCTGCCCCAAAAAACAGTCAGAGCTGAGAAAAAACCCACCGTTCTTTCATTTCATTCATGCCCACTGCTACCTTGATAGCTTTAAACTGAAACAGTTGTCAAAACAAATCCTTTATTTAATAATGCTATCAACCAAAGGAAGAAAAAAATACAGAGTTTATTGTAGTGCAGATTTTTTTACTCCAGACACACTCCTTTCAGGTCCAGTTTTCCTTAAGATGCGAATACCCCCCTCTCTCTTTAGAGATCTGATCGGTCTAACCATGACTAAGGCAAGGCTTTTTCCATATATATAAAATCAGAGGATCAGCCAAAAGGTATTCTAATAATAAAAACCATTTCTCTACTGCACAAATAGAGCAGAGGAATGCTAAGCCTTCAGTATAGCAGAGATGTGCAAGACCTGCTAAAACCCACAGGATTTTCAAAAGGGGATTTGAGCATCATTGTTCCCAATGAGCAAGTGCAGAGGCAGGTGTGACACTCAGTCACCTCTGGTTAGCTATTATGGACTTCTTGAAATTCCATTTTAGCTGTGCATTTCTGCTCTTGTGAATCCAACAGAGGCTGCTCCCTCCCCATTGGTAGGCTCAAAAGACAGAAATTGGAAAAAGGAACAAAGCAGGGAACTTGCACAGCACAAAGAAACAGATACCGTATGTGGAGCAGCTTCTGAGACAAATTAGGACTCCCACCAACAGAACCAAATTGCTTCCTCTCTCCCTACTTTAATATACCTTCCAAGAAGGATCATTGCATTATAGTGTTTTTATACAGAAACAGAAGAAAAGCAGTATGTGAGTTTGTGAACAGTTTGTGGCTGACATGTCAAGCTGCACTGAAGAAGGGGAATCCTCCTGCTAAATTCTCTCATTAAATTGCCCAAACACAAATCAAACCCTCTTAGCCAGTTCTCATTTATTGCTATAAAGCCAAGTACCTGCATTCTGAGGGCCAGATCAGCATTTTCCCAGCTCTTGCTGAAGCAAGCAGTCTGTGAGAGAATGAGAAACAGCACCCTGGTGAGAGTCTCTGTGCCACATCCCTGAGTCAGTACAGACATCTTCAGGAAGCCGGGGCTTCTCTTCAGCAACAACAGCTTGATTAGGAATCCTCTCTGCTCTATTCTTTCCAGCATAGGAGCTGCAAGGTTCATAATCAAATATATATTTGCCTTTTCTTGCACCTCCTAACCAATATTCACTTTAACACCAGCGCAGAGCTATCAGGAACCTAATTATGTCTGACTTAAAAATCACACCGTGATTTTAGCTAACTCTAACTAGCCAGCTGCTACTCTTTTCTCCAGCACTGGAGAAGCTCTCTGGACTGTGAAGACAAAGAGCTTGTTAACACATACAGCAGAGAGGTTTCAGTGCAAAGATACAGACAGTCCATGAAAACAGAGAAGCAATCTGCACTTTAAGTCTGTCACGTTGTCCACCAGCCTGGACTATGCTAATCACATCTCCCAGTGTGCTCTAAGAGCTGTCACTGCCAGACTGCACTTAATCACCATTCTTGCAGCAGCGAACAGAGTTCATCTTTTTCCCTTTAATAAGAGCCATTACATCATTCTCCAGCATGGAAACTACGAAGTGGGAAGGTCAAAAAGTTCTTAATTAGAAGGATTTTTATTACTGTGATAGTTCCGTTCTAGCCTCGATAAGAGAGATCTGCAGTACAGGCAGCAAGAGCTGGAAGGCATCTTGGATATAGGAAGCACTGTTTGAAGCCTGTGAAAACAGAAATCAAAATACACACATGAATAATTACACTGCCAATCAGCTTTACTAAGCACATACTCATTTCAAACAGCATTGATTAATGCACAGAAGAAACAGAAGCCTAGTGCTTGCTGGATTTTAAAGGCTTTATTCCAGAAACCAATTTAATATTAAGTTTTGCAAGGGATTTATGCCATTAGGCAAAAAAAGCAACTGGCTTAAAAACTCCCAAACAAGATCAGGTGCAATCCAAATGCAGGATACTGTTTTCAGTAACAGATTAATAGAGTTTATTTCTAAGTGAAGCATAACCACACTGTGGCAGGAAGGAAGGACACACCAACACGAAACACTCCTTTCCTACCACACTGCAGAGCTGTGCAAACATTGAGAACCAACTTAATGGCAAGGAAGTGTTG